GGGTGAGGAGTGGCCAAGATAGAGTGGGCTCTCAGAGGAAGGAAGGCGAGGTGTTAAGAGAGGGATTCTGGAAGTTAATTATGAACCCCCTCTTGCTGCCCCCCTCCCACCCTCACAGGTACGCACCTCTGCAACAACCTATTTACATACAGGCACTCCGTCCCTAGAACACCCGAGATCCAAAGATGGGCACACACACAAACGATGCAGAGATTAACTCGCAGGGATGACAGCCCCACAGCAACTCAGGGATTCCCAAAACTTGCAACCCCAACAACCAAGAGTCACACCAAGCCTATACACACCCAACCCAATTCCCTTTGGAGTGTGCCAACCCCGCCGGAAGTTGCTCTCACTTGGCTCAAGGTTCACAGGCTAGGCAGACTTGGGCAAAATCTCCTCTCCAGTCTCACTCCCACCTGGGACTTTTACCAGGACTCCTCCAGCCCCTTCCTCAGGCTGTTGTTCAAAGTCACCGTTTCTCAGCACACATCTCCCTTGTATTAGACTAGATTCTCAATAAATAGCATCAGGCCCCAGACCTCTGAGGCTTCCTGGTCCCTTCCCAGGCTGAACTGATCAGAGCTTCATGGCCTCTGGGGAGATATGTCCACCAGCATTCCAGTCACCCCTTCCAGCCTGGAGGCTGCCCCCTTGCTCCCTGGGTCCTAGTGCCATCTCTGTATGCAGCTACTCTGTGTGAACTAAGGCTAACTTCTCTGAGGTCAGGTCAGTATGAGTGTGGCAACCTGTCCCATGACTGGCCCTGGACTAAACAGGAGCAGGAAGGGCCTCTGCTGAGCTCTGTTGGATGGGCACCTAACAAGGTCCAACAAATGCTTACCACTGGCACAGTATCAAAGTGAGTCCATAGCTATCTGACACAAGTCAGCTCAGCCTCCTCCTACCCAGGGCTCCTTGCTCTACTCGCTTATCTCTGGGCCTTGGTTCCTCCTATACAAGGAGGGAATCAGAAGGCATATCCTGGCTTCACCATCCAGAGCCCTGGGATAGAACAGCTTTGCTAACAGGCACTAAGAGTAAATATAAGGAGTCAGCATGATGTGTTCACAAATAGAGGTGTCTCTTCCTGAAGTGCTCAGGGCTCTGAGATGTTTGTAAATCAGGCCCAATTTTAAAAATGAGTGGGGGTGAACAGGGAGCCATGACAGCAAGACAACAGCAAGACATTCAGCAAATTGAAGCGTGTACAATGAGCTGCAGGTCCCTAAGAGGCCCATGTGATGACTCTAGATCTCTATCAATCACCTCCAACCTCCAGATTCACACTCCTCCCCCCCACACACACACTGGGGATTGAACCCAGGAGTCACTCCTTTTTATTTTGTTTATTTATTTATTTATATTTATTTATTTATTTGTGTGTGGGGGGGGGGTGTGCTGGGAATGAACCCAGGGCCTTGTGCATGAGAGGCAAGCACTCTACCAATTGAGCTATATCCCCAGCCCACTCCTTTTTATTTTTGAGACAGGGTCTTGCTAAATTGTTGAGACTGGCCCTGAACTTTCAATCCTCCTGCTTCAACCTCCTGAGAGGCCCCCTGAGTAGAGGCCAAGGCAGGAAGATCAAAAGTTCAAGGCCAGCAACTCAGAAACTTAGTGAGACCCTCCCTCAAAATAAAAAATAAAAAGGGCTGATGATACAGCTCAGTGGTATAGATCCCATGGGTTCAAACCCCAGTACTGGAAAAAAAAGAAAGAAAAAAAGAAAGAGTGTGGGGCTGGGGCTTTAGCTCAATGGCAGAGCTCTTGTGAGGCACTAGTTTCAATCCTTAGCACTGCATAAAAATAAACAACTAAAATAAAGGCATGTTGTCTATCCACAACTACAAAAAAAAAAAAAAAAGAAAAAAGAAAAAGTCTGGAATGATGAGGTGTTAAAGCAGCTAGCTCTCAGCTGGGGAGGACCAGGTTCTGACTTCTAATCTACCTCCCCTGCCCTTGGCCCAATTCTAGCCATGTTACTGTCTTCCCCAGGCCTTGAGGAAGACACTTTTGCTTCCAGGCTGGTAGGAGAGCCACAGGGGACCCCAGCAGACCCAAGTCTGGTTTGTGGAATTGGACTATAACCTGTAGGATCAGCCATGAGGAAGAGATGGCAGCACTGGTCTGGAGGCTTCTGCATTTTTAGCGTCCCCCCACCCAGCACATCTCAACAGACAGTAAGATAAGACTGGAGTGACAGCAGGAGGAGGCAGTGAGGGCAAACTGACAAAAGGAACTTCCCACACCAGAAGGCTGCCAATCTGAGGAAGAGACAGAAACCCAGGAAGATACAGATGGCAAGATGGCAAGAACCAAAACATCCCTCACATCTAAACACAGATTAAGACAAGAATAAATCTTTTGGGTCTTTTGGGTCTTGGGTCAGTAAAGGTGGGTGAGCTGGCACCCTTGGGCTCAGGTGGCTATGCCCTGGGCTTATCCCTGGGTCTTGATTTCAGATGAGATTGGCTGGCCAGCAGGTGGGCAGAAGGGCATCACTCCATTCTACTCATTAATTTGCCCTTGCAAAGGCATGCCCTAGGAATTTAAGTGTCCCGGATTCTGAGGCTCTTTACATCTCCTTGAACATGACAGAACATACCGAGTCTCACAACACCACTGAGCAGCATAGCTAAGGGCCTGTTATTCAAAAGTGGAAGAGTAAGGAATGGGAAGGAGCCTAGGGACAGAATCTGGAAAGGAGTCCCAGGCCTAGGCCATCCCTGCTTCCCACAGTCTGTCAGTAGACCTAGATTCAAAACCTTTTCTAGCTGTATAACCAGAAGCAGGTGACACATTCTCTCCAAGCCTGTTTCCTCATCTGGAATAATAATACCTTCTGAGAATTACTGAAATGAAGAGCTATATATATGCCAGTGTCACTCAAAAATATAACTTGGGGATAGGGTAGGGCATGGAGGAATGCACTGGTCCAAAAATGTATGGCTCCAACAAAAAGCACTAAAGTAACACCTTGACATGTTAGGTATGATTCTCATGAAAGATTAAGCAGTGAAAAGGGCTGGCAGAGCATGACCCCTGCTCTCTGCCCATTCAGCCCCCTGCCCCAGACCCAAGTCCCACAGGAGGTGGATGGAGGTGCCTCTGTGAGCCCAGGGCAGAGCCAGAGAGTCATGTCTGACTGCTCTGGGCCCCAGAAAGAACAGCACTAAGCGGAGCCGGGTGGGTGTAGAAGGTGAAAGTGTGTACAAGAAGGTGCTTAGCAAACTGAGAAGCCTCCTCATGGGAGTGAGAGGAATTATTACCCTGGGCACTGAGCAAGACTGAGTCTTATTATGCCCCTCCTAGAGAGAGCAGCTGAGGCTCCAGGAGGGCCCAAATCATACACAAAGCAGAACCCCTCTGGGTCCAGACCCTAGACTATGACCCCAGGACTGGGGGGTCAGTGAGTTGTTTAGAGATTTACACCAGACTTTGCTCATAGGCCCTGACAACTATTGGAATAGGGGTAAGGGCATCTGCCTAGAGTCACCCCTTGGCCAACTCCCCACACTAGATCTAAACCCCTCAGACTAATGTCATCTGGCTTCAGCCTCCCAAAAAAAAGAAACAGAAGGCCCAGCTAGCAGAGTCAAGCAGAAATAAAAATCCTAGGACTCCTGACTTACATACTACTCTTTCCATTTGCCTGTGGGGTCCTTGGCATTGTCACCACCTTCTCTAATCCTCAAGATTTAGTTTCCATCCTCACCACCAGTGCCTCCCACCCTGACCATGTCCTGTACAATAGGGGTCCTGCAAGACTTGACTTGCTCCTAGGTACACATTTCTACTCACCATTTAGCCAGACAGATGACTACTTCAATTTCCCCTCTGGGAGGTAAGAAGGCCCACCACTGGTGCCTTCTGCCCCACCTCCTCCTCAGGGGTATGCTACCTGTTAGTTTGGGTGGAGCAAATTCCCAAGTTGTCTAGGGCAACAAAGCAATATCCTAGGGGCACTATTCTAGAAGATTAGATAGTGACTTGTGTGATGTCACTAGGAAACAGCAGAGCCTCAGTTCCACAGGCCCTCAAGAAAGGTCCAGGACAAAGCACTCTGAGGCCACCAAGGCTGGCTTAGCCTAGAGAGGGACGTGTTCTTTACAGTGGCAATAGGAGCTACTGTACAAACCCGGATCTAAATGTTTACTCAAGGCGGTCTCCTGGCCCTCATGGGCCTCACTGAGCAAACAGCCAA